CCTTTTCTGCTCATTTTACATACAAAAATTCACTGCGTATTTTCATATGACTACTTATTGCTTTATTTATCCATCGATTTTCTTCATTATCAACTTGAACAGAACAGGCTTTACACAGCCTTGAATGTACTAACCGTGCGCTCGACGTGAGTTGATACAAGTGGCGCCCAATTGAAATATGGAACGTTTGAAACTTTTATATTATCAGGAATAAAGGATTTTTCTTCGCTATAATCACTTTTTTAAAGGTACAATAGGCAAAAAAAGGTAAGGGTATATATGGAATCAGGGAAAGCTAAATCGTGGACATTCTTAATCGAATATACTCTATCTCTTTGGCAGAAAAAAGGCAATTTCCATAAAATCCGTTCCCTGCTCACAACTTTGGTTCTATTAGAGGCACACATTCAGCTCTGGTGTAATATTCAAGAGCATTTTATATACATTATATTACTTTAACGCCATTTTCAAATATCAAACGGTAAAAAAGTTACGCGGATAAACAGGAAACTTAGTTAAATTTGAATAATTCAGAATCACTGATGTTTTAGCTAGTTTTGTGATTACAGCGAGCAGGAATTGTTTCAGATCGGATAAAACACTATAGTAACTCTTATTATGATATGTATATTTTCTTCTGAAAATTTCCCATATACCTACGAAACTATTTTGACCATATACCTATGAAACTATGCATAATCACCAAAATTAAAAGTTCCTGATTGTGCATTAAAATAAGGTCGAATTTAAAAGATTAAACTTTAAAGACTTTATCATTCCCTCGGAAATATTATCAAAAGCGTCAACCTAAATACGTAAATAATAAAGTAAATACGTAAGTTTTTCTAAATCAAATCGTCTTTTTTACATATCAATTTTGAATTAGTCACGATAAAGTCAGCTTTAGAGTTAGTAGCTGCTTTTTGACATAATATTCAATGCAATATCTGTCAAAAAAGCTGCTACTAACATTAGAGTCGACTTTATTTCGACTTATGCCCCAATGTCTCGAGAAAAGTGCAAACAATATGAGATGTTTAAAGCTTCGTGTGTTGTCGCAGTCGTAAATTGGCACAGTTCAAGTGTCATTATCAGGGAACGGATTTTAAGGACCTAAAAACCTATAAAAAAGGCAAAATAAAATAGCGAAATAGGCCCTAGAAATCGCAAAAAAAAAGAAGGAAAAAGACAAAAACCGAAAAATAGTCGTAAAATACATTTATTTTAGAAATTTTTATTTTATAAGTAAAAAGAGAGAAATATGAACTAGTTTCATTATATGAAAAAAATTTGTACTTTGAATCTTTGACTATCTCCTTTCCAGTTCTTAACTCACAAAAGTTTAATCTCTATAGTTGTAGTAACATTGAAGAACAAGATGAATTTTGAAGTTTTTTGGCAGCATTTTTATTCGATTTTCAGAAAGGAAAGCCTTGAATTTACTAAACGTGCGCTCGACGTGAGTTCATATTCCAATTTGAATATGGAACGTTTAAGACTTTCATATTATCAGGAATAACTAATGTTGGAAAACGCAAAAAAGGCAAATACCTTAAAGAGGCAAAAAGAGGCAACATCAAACGTGTAGGTATGTATATGGGCAAATCTAAAAAAAAAGATTTGAATTCTTATATTTGTGATATATGTTTTATATATCATTTTATTCGTAATCTCTTAATAAATCGATTAATATAAGAGTAATTCATTTTCATCAAGTGCTTCAAAAGTTAGACGAGGAATAAACATGGAATAGAAAACAAAAGAATAAGCTGGGTGCAAATTACGCTGTACAAGTTGTAAACTTTGAGCAAAGATTTTGAAAGTTGAACTCACTTAATTGGGACGTTCTAAATTCAATGGCATGCCCCGTTTTACCAGATTGGCTCCGGTTTTCGAGATAACAGTACTTGAAACTATGATTAAATTTTGACAATTTTATAAATAACTCCCTCAGTTTTGAAGTTATTTTACTAAAATTTTGCACATAACAGTTTTTTAATATTACCTTAATTATTTCTTAGAATTATTGAAATAGGTTCACATTATTTAACATATAGGTATAATACAACTGATTACTCAGATATGTGTTTTTGCACTACAACTCTAACTTCATATCTGAATAATAAATTGTATGCGTGCTATATGTTAAATTGAACCTATACTAAATTTTAACCTGTTTAATTGTAGGAGTTATAACGCAAAACAAATTCTCTGATCAATCAGTTGTATGGGAGCTAGATGTTTTAGTGAACTGATTTCGATGATTTTATGGAATAGTTAAGGTAATATTAAAAAACGGTTATGTGCAAAATTTTAGTAAAATATCTTCAAAACTCAGGGACTCAGGGACAGCAAAGTTTCAAGTACCGCTATCTCGAAAAGTGGAGCCAATAGGATAAAACTGAGGACGCCATTGAATTTAGAAGGCTCCAATTAAGTGATATCAACTATCAGAACATTTGTCGAAAACAAGTTACTTTGATACCACTCTCACTTCTGACTAAAATAAGGAGCATCACTAAAAGTAGTAAATCAGGGTTTTTACACACTCCTAGAGACAAATTTTTTGAAGCATTTTACAGGTATATGTAATTTTATAAGGACTAGCAGTTATAGAAAGATTTAGATCGTTTCGACGTATTTTCCAAATGTGCATTCAATTAAGGTGTTTTTGGAATAAAAATTACGCTCAAGATCGCAGTATATTTTATGTTTAAAAGTTAGTTTATTCTGAAAGCACACCTCTTGCTAAGGTATCAAATTATTCGTAATTGTTTACAGAATACAGTACATACTTAAAAAGTCCTTAAAATAAAATGCTTCAAAACCTATACGCGATAAACCGAAAATTTTGAAAATTGTGAAATGCAGAGTTACAGACTTTGAATTACTTGCCATTTCGTTATTTTTTAAGGCACACTTTTCTTACCTTACATATGAATTGTACACATAAGTGCTAAGTGCCCATTTAATTTCAAATCAGAATATGGTGTGCTTCAAAAGTTATGACATAATTAATTTTGCCCCTCTTAAAAATTACATAAAAAATTCACTTGTTTTCATTATTTTTTTAAATTTAAACACCCATAATTCAAAAGTTATGTAGCAAATTGATCCAAATTTTTTTTTGGAGCCTCAAGTATACGTCAATGAATTATATCATAAAGCAACCAGCTTGATTTAGTTTACAACAGTGAAAATAAAGCTAAATAACACAAAGGTTACCTGTTTTTTAGATTTGCCCATATATGAAATCTGGGAAAATTAAATCGTGGACATTCTTAATCGAATACACTCCATCTCTTTAGCAGAAAAAAGGCGATTTCCATGAAATCGGTTCCCTGGTCATTATCGTGTCATCAACTGTAGTCATATACATATATAAAGGATTATGATTCCGATTCCGATGATTATAGATTTCACGCCTATTGGAGGTGCCACGCCCCCTTGTCGAATCCCATTTTTTACCCTATTATAAGCTCAGGTGTGATGGCAATACTCTGTCAAAATTTCATTCGATTCCGTCCATCTGTACATATGTACATACACACTTCCACAAATATATAGTTACGGTGACTATATTTATGGGAGCCGAATACAAAAAATAATTTTGCAAATTTTTTCCACAACAGCTTACAGATCTTAAAGCCTTCTTCAAAGATCCTAGATGTATTAGCCCTGAAACAGTATCCTTTTAGTAACATCACAACTTTTTAGGATAATTTTCTCGAGATTTTTACCCCGTAAAATTTGTTTAAAAAAAATTCGTTAAATTTTAGTAAAACAAAGTGCAATTTTAAGTCGCTAAGGCTTAATATTAATTTTTGTGCTTTTTTTTTGTTGACGGTGCTCGCATTTTTTTTCATACAAAGTAAGTATGTTCGACCATTTTTTTGAAAGAGAAGCAAATAAGTAGCACTTTCCACTGGCACTTTATTATACTCAATTTCAATGAGTTACAAAACCGCAAACCAAATTTTTTTCTAAAGATTGTAATTAGAAAGTTTGAAATTTTGGTGAAACATTGCAGAATTAATTTTTATAGTTTTTTGCACAAAGTTTGAAATTTGGTATTACAGTATATTTTGCTTAGCTGCACATCCTTCTTTGCGCGAAAAACTTGAGCACTTATCCGAAAAAGGCACTTAAGCGAATTTTCTTTACTACTTCAATGAGGAAGGTATCCAAATCCCTATGAAACCAAATAATGGAGAAGCACTTACCACGTAGAAATTACTGCAAGCGAAATTTTTACCGAATAGTATCTAATTATCTATATAACTACATAAATTTATAGGCATTTTCGTTGTTCTGGGAGATGAACAAAATAAATAAACAGTTGTAAAATTAGGTAATTGTAGGGCCAGTGCAGTTAAACGTAATACTTTCTTTGATAATTGATACTAGTCGCCCAATTTTTAAGGCAGGTATCGCCAATGTGCAGGTATACTAAATGCATCTATCGGAGCAGTTTCCTTATAAATGTTAAAAATATTGCCTCTGATGCGCATTTTAGGGTAGGTATCTTAAATGTGCACTTAAGCATAGAGGCAGCAAAGCAAAATATACTGTATATGGTTTTCGTTAGAAAAAGAGCTTTACTTTCTTAAAATAAATAATAAATATTAAATAACCTAAGGAAAAATTACCAAAACTTACTAAAATGTCGAGTCATAATTTATATTTTGATCACTGTATGTATTCCTCGATTCGAGTCACATGCATTAAATAAGAAAATAATACATAACTGTTTATGAAGAAAATTGCAATCATATACCAACATCACTTAAATCACCTTCATGCCATTTTAATGAGCTGTTAAGGCATCGAAATGCCGAATACGGGACAAATACAGGACATTAAAAGAATACAGAACGTTTGGCGTCCCGTATAAAATAAATAAATTGCCAGGACAATAGGTCAAAAAAGAGGACTGTCCCGTATAATACAGGTCACCGTATATATAGTAGCTATGCCCGCCCTTTACCAAGTTCACTTACCGCATATCGGCGAATCGGTTATTGCCGCTGTGAGCACCTATGCTGTTGCCATCGTATCTATTCGAACGCTTATTACCATTTAAGGCGCCATAAAACCGACTCGTGTACTGAGGCTGCGTCAATGACAATGCCATTGATTCTGGATAAGCTTCCGCATTGAGAATGTTTTGTAAATTGTCGTAGGCCTTACTGCGGTGCGAAGATGCTGAGGAGCGACGATGAACATGGGATAGTAAAAATAAAAATTAGTAATGACAAGTAGACAAAAGAGCAGAGTAAAGAGAATAATTTAATTATTATTACAATTATACAAATTATGAAAAAGAACGGAGAGCCCAAGAGTGTGATAAAGTGTGCTCGAATGTACATATTTACTTACATACATATGTTAACATACGACTAAATTATTAAGCGGTCATGGCTGTTTCAAGGCGAACCTTTTACAAATACAAACACGATAGTGATCCGTGCTGTGATTTCTGCGGAAAGGGCACCATCGAGGACGCGGGGCACATACTTCTACTCAATGTGACCGTTTTGATCCAAGTGGATCAAAAGTGATACATTTTTCAATGAATTTTGGAGAGATACTTCTTTTTAAATTTTGATACTTTTTCAATCGTGCAAAAAACCATCCCGTAGAAGTCGAAAAACTTCCAGAGATGTTTACGATTTCTTCGCACATAGTGTAAAAGGGTGGATGAATTGCCTAGTTTCAAAACTACGTTGGTGTTAAGAATCATAAAATTTTTCGAGTGTCAAACGTTCGCTGGTTATCGTGGAAGTAAGCTGTTTATCGTTTAATGTCACAGTGGAGCAATTATTATGGAGCAATTGCAATTGCAATTATTATTAATTTTTTGTTTCGATGACGGTGTGAACCAAGCATGAGCTCTTCCGCACCAATAAAAATTTATTATTTATTTTTGTCAAATACTTTGGATGTTGTCAATCGAATGAACATAGAATTTCAAAGTGAATAATACAGATTGCATAATTTATATAACAATTTTGAAAGTAACTGTAAACTTATATGGTATTTTTTTGTCAAACTAAACTGTATGCCAACTAGCCCAGCTGATTTGGCCTTTTTTAACCCAAATAATCATTTACCTATTACGGAAGTATATATGTATTACTTATGCGGCAGAGACGTATGTATATTAGAGTGGTTCATAAAAACACTCTTTTTGGAAATTCATAAACGCTACATCAAAATATTGTTATTTGTGATAAAAAAAGAGACACGTATTTTTTATTTAAAAAAAAAAGTTTTCTTAGAGGTCGCGCCGGTTTTTTAATTTCTTGACATGTTAAAATGCAGCTAAAAATGTGGTTTTCACATAACCAGAATTTCGAAAAACTGACTTCAGATCCCTAATTAGCAACCCCAGAAACCCTCTGATAACAAGTTTCAATCCATGACAATGCGTAAATCGTTCAGCATCAACGTTTTAATTTCACTAGTCTCTTTTCAAGAGCATATTTTCGGGCACTAGGCCCATTCTAACTGCCCAAGACAGGTATATAAATAAGGGAATGTTCCCCAGTAATACCAGAGTAATTATATGAAAAAAACAAATTTTTAGCTGCATTTTAACATGTCAAGAAAATAAAAAAAATTTAGAACATCAGCGTTTTTATAAAAAACCGACCAGAGCGACCTCTAAGAAAACTTTTTTTCAAAATAAAAAAAACACGTTTCTCTTTTTTTATCACAAATAACAATAATTTGAGGTAGCGTTTATGAATTTCCAAAAAAAAAATTTTTTTTAACCACTCTAATGTATATGTATATCAACAGCCCACTTAAGTAAAGTCCAAATTAAAAAAAATATATATTCAGCAATGTTATATTGAACCTTGTTTGCAAATAAAAAAGAGATTTAATTTTAACAGTGAAATTTTGAAAATCCTTTCATGTATTGATCCATTGTCATATAAGAGAACGCTAACTCGGCATTTTTAACAGCTTTAAACAATTTTCCTAACTTTTGATATTCGACAATAAAATAGGTTGCGTTGAAGTAAGCAAGGGGGAGCAAGCAAGCTAAAAAATGTTTTAAATAGCTTTTTACATTTCGAACTAACTTCTTTTATTTTTAACCTGTTATGTTCGCCGCACAGCTCTGCCGCTGCAGAGCGCATTATCTCAGAACTGAATTTGATCAAAACAAATGGAACAAATCGCTTCACTTTGTCAATGGTGGAATGCATGTTTTCGAAATGCCTTAAAAATGATAAAAAAATTTGAATTCTGAGTCCTATAAGTACAAATTTATTTAAACTAAAAATTAGATTATATATAAGATATTTTTTCTGTTTTTATTATACTAATACCCAGTTGAAATCATACATGTAAGACATTTTCTTAATTATTATTATACTAGTACCAAGTACAACTGATACGTATACCTTTTTTGCAATCAATAAATGTTAAAGTGTTCTGGAAAATGGTTTTTTATAAAAATTATTGGTTTTATTCCATATTGATACTTTGATACTCAAAATAAAAGAAAGTGATAAATATTGATACTTTTTAAGTCACACTGCTTCTACTGTGTTACGATTCAGCGAACAGAGACGCAGATTCCAACAGTATATCAATGCAGCACTGTTTCCAGAATAGTGATGCTCAAGGAGAGCTTTTACTCTGTGCGCGTCTATTTAAAGTCTGCAGAGAGTTTTGAAGAGTTCCGCCCGCGGGCGCTGTTTTGGGCATCACTGCTCCAGAAGCTGAAGTAAATTAGATGCTGAGGGAATGGAGTTTGGCCAGCAGTGAAATAGCATCAATTATGAACTATTTGAGATGTCTAGAGCGGCAGAGGCGTACAAGTGGTATGTAATGCATAAGCGCGGATTGACAGTGGGGCTTTGAAACTCGTAAGGTAGTGCGACTTAGAAGCTTGTACTCTCAGACCGCCTCCCCAACATCAAGTTCATAAACCAAAGTGTAGGCGCGGATTGGAACCTAGGCCGTTCCAACCGCCAACGCAGCACACATAAATTTACACGGGTTTGAGACTCGTAATTTCTGAATGCCTACTCAATACAAATACCAGCGACGGGCCTGCTCATATCTGGTCAAAAAGCATCTATAACGGGTGTCAAAACTTCAAGGAATTGGCTTCACTATTCCAATTAGTTAAAATATAAGTATCGTGTTTGTATATGCTATTTACTTCACGTTAGTCAAAAGAATAAGAGCTAAATAAAAAATAAAAGAGTTGTTCACTACGCGGCAGAACCTATTAGATATAGCCCAGGACTGAGTACATTTTACTGGATCGTACGTGCGAGCCTAGTACTCAAACTGCCTTCCAACGAAATATTTGACGGTGGTACCGGGGGGATCGGTATTGGACAGTCCCATACTGACGGACTTTCACTGCTTCCTCCTCAAACCAAAAGAATTCATATTCATATTCGTATTTCATAGAGGGAATCGAGTGAATATGAATAAATTATGGGATTTAGCACTTCTTCTGGGAATAAATAAATAAGCAAAATAATAAGATTTACATAGGTTGCTTACCTCGTGGTGCGGGCAAGTAGTCATCTTCCTGTATATCGGTATAAACAACTGCAGGATCCATTTCATCAGCCCAAACACCATTTGGTACCGCGGACAGACCCACATCCCCGCCAATTGCCAATTGATTATTCAGATATGCATTATTATAGTAATCACTACCGCCATAGACGTTTTTACCACCTCCACTGACTCCATAATTATTACCATTGCCATTGCCACTGTTATAGCTATAAGGTCCGCCCACGCTCATTCCACCGTAGAGGTAATGTGGAGTTGAAACTCCGCGCTTATGCAAGAGTGTGGGCGCATCTTCATCACCCTGTTGCTTGAGTTGCTGTTGTTGTTCCAAATCGCGTTGACTTGACGCAGCGGCTGCCTCCACTGCAGCAGCGGTTAGACCAGCAGCTATGGCAGAATTAATTATATCTTCATTCGAGGGCATTGTTAGTACACCAGTTCCCTGTTTATCTGAAATAGAGTTGAAGTTTCCATCACCACTCGCTTTGTTACCATTCGCAAAGTTATTGCCGATCGAATGCTGCGTAGCGGAGGGCATATTAAACGCTGGCGGTAGTACCTCAGGACTGGATTTCTTATTAGCCGATGTGGAAGCTGCGTCGTTCGAAGTCTCTTTTGACATCATCTCGTTTGCGTTATTTGAAGAACGTTTCACTATTTGGAGGAAGAGAGAAACAAACACGCAAAATTTAATAGGTACGAATATTCAAAATAAAAACAGTAAAAAAGATAAAATAGCAGGAAATACCTTAGTAAAAGCGGATCCACCGTTCGTGTACGTACAACTTTGTATTTGTTTTCAATACTTTTTTCTCAGAGGGGGTGCTGAAGTGCGATGCACTATTTAGTTCCTCACATTTTATATTATTCTGAAGCAAACAGCTGATGATATTGTTGCCTACATACGAAACTATGATTTTGAGAGGAAATAATAAATGCAATGCGCAACCAAACGCAAAACAAGAGAAAGCGGTAACTGCATTATCAAGTCGATCGGACAGAAAATCAAAATTATGTAATTTGATTCCAACCATGATACAATCAGTTTTAAAAGGTAGTTTCACTTCTTCTTATAAAATGAAATTAAATAAGAAATGAGCTGCTGCTTCCGGGGATGTTTCGACACGCGGAATAGATGTAGGAATACAGCTGTAAAACATTTCAAATTTCCTGCTGTGCCATATTTACGGGAAAAGTGGATGAAGGCTTGCGGATTAAGTGAGTACCAATTGCCAAGGTAACCATTTGTGTGTTCAAATCATTTTTTAAGAACAAATTTGATTGCGCGGAACGGTCGTGCACTGCTAAGCCGAAGCGCCATCCCCCGCGCCGAAATGTAAGTCAACAAAATAAAAAAAATTGAATGTTGAAAGTATGTACATATTTCATAATTTGCAGCGATCAAGAACCAAGCGTCATGGACGATGACAATGAATATTGTATAGACGACGCCAGCGAATCCCCCTCCGTTGGGATATCAAGAAAAAGAGCGAGGAAAGGATACGTCAGAGTTTCAACGCAAATTGAGTAAGTTTTTTGAAGGCGATACCAACGAATTAATACAGTACACGGTAACACACTACACGTAACGGCTCTCAGAAGCGGTGAAGTAAATACAGCATGGCTCTCATCTCTGAGCAACGATGGAGTGATTGGTTATGGCAATCGATGCATTCAGGAAATCTAAGGAGACTTGTATCGCGGCTCCCGTAGTCGCATTACATTAGTAGGAGCTGATAAGGACGTGACCTTACCATTGTTATGATTAACTGTCTGCAAGTATCTCTTCCAGAAATTATGACCTTATAGGGCTTGTTGAAGGATAATTTCGTTAGCATTTTGTCTGTGTGATGACGGAATTTTCATAGAATGATTTTAATACCATCAAGCGCTCTTATGCTCACTAAAAGCTGTGTCAGACGGCAAAGCTTATGAATATAATCTGGCACACATATGCGCATAATAATTTTGACCAAATAGACGGCAGTTATGCGGATAAATGAGCCGCAAGGTCGTGAGTTCGAGTCCCACGGCCAGTTGAATTTTCATTTATTTCGTTTTCATTCTTTTTTTATAAGTTCTATATTTTTTTACGTTGCTTTCAGTTGGTTGTTATTGACTTTTTATTAAAATTCAACTCTAAAAATTTAAATTAACTAATAGTAAAATAAAAAATGTGATATAAAATAAAGCAAATAAAAATAAAATAAAGTAAAGTTAAATATATAGATCAAATAAAAAAAAGTATATAAAATAAATAATAAAAACAAAAAATTTGTTCGCAATCGCTCCAACCGAGGAGCTACAGGCTTGTAGCCCGTAACTCTTACCACTCGGCTACCGCGGACGCGGAACTCGCGCTCTTTGTTTGTTTACTTGTACAAAAGACAACACCTGTCCGTTTTTAGCAGTGTTGTCAACGAAAACTACCCGGATCCGAGCTAATTCCCAAAAATTTCGTGCATTTGTTCAGCTGCTTATGCGCATTTTAAAGAGGAAAATGCATGAGTCAAAGCAAATAAAGGCTGGCTATGCAAATAACCGAGCCCGTTTGTCTACCGTATTAGACTTCCGTGATTGATCCCTGCAAAAATCGCGACTACTCCATGCATGCGTGTAAAGAGTACTCCCTAAGGACCTAGGGGTACTCTNTTTAAAGAGGAAAATGCATGAGTCAAAGCAAATAAAGGCTGGCTATGCAAATAACCGAGCCCGTTTGTCTACCGTATTAGACTTCCGTGATTGATCCCTGCAAAAATCGCGACTACTCCATGCATGCGTGTAAAGAGTACTCCCTAAGGACCTAGGGGTACTCTAAAATTAACCACAATTCATGTAAAAAATATGGTCCAATTAACATTGCGATGTCCTAGGGCAGGACCATATACTCCATCCCTGCATTACATCAGAGTAGCACGAAACTACTCCAACATATTAACAATGGCATTGTTGTTATATTTTTTCGTTTGTCCACGCTTTTGTTCTTCACCTCTCAAATGCTTTTTCGAAATTAATAAAAACCAAGACAAAAATTAAAAATTACATGTGCCTCTGACGGCATTCGAACCCGAACATGCTAGAAGCTAAGAACTAACAGCGAGCATCTCTACACGTTCAGCTACAGCCAGACATGCAAATGTGCTTTCAAATGTTCGCCTTCAACCACATTTCGTTAAAACACGAGCAGTGATCAGATAACAAACAATAAGCTGGCGCAGAGACACGAGTTGGTCCGCTACACCATGACAGAGCAACACTTTTGTAAGTATGTACTCCAATATACCACAAATAGACTACATGCTCCAAAGATTTTTGCAGGGATATGCAAACAAGAGCTTGATCTTTAAATAAGTATATGTAAGTTATAATTATCTCATTTTACCAGACTTCAAAAATTTGCCAAATATGAAAGTTATGCATTGACTTTACTTTTATTAAAATTTTTAGTAAATACTTTTTATTAATTATTAAATAAATATATTTTTAAAAATGCAGGGTATTCATAAATACGTGAGAATATATGAAAGAATTTTTTCATTATGCTCAGTCTTCATAAAAGAAAGAATGCGTATGAGAAGGGTCGTAAAATTTCTAACATTCTTATATGCAAGTACTTGTACTAAAAATTATTACCTGTGCAATCTGTGCTAAATATCATACGTATGTATTTTTGTTTTTTTTTTGTAGCCCATTGCTAACTATTCTGCCCATTGTGTTAAAAAAAACGCATTTTGGATTGTACAATTTACGTACCTACATACACATGCCCTTTAATTTGTATCCTTTTAAGTAACAAAGTTCTTAAAGTCACTACCTATCAAGACGCAGCGTGTGGCATCCACCAATAACTTGAAGCTGATAGATAAACCCCTTTAATTTGTATCCTTTTAAGTAACAAAGTTTTTAAAGTCACTACCTATCAAGACGCAGCGTGTGGCATCCACCAATAACTTGAAGCTGATAGATAATCCCCAAAACAGGATACTTTGTGGTTGCTTATTTTGTATTAACTGTACATGTAAGCGTATGCATAAGTACTTAGAAAGTGAAGGCCAAAAACAATAACAATTACTTTTTCAACAAGTCGAATAATGGAACCCCATTGAAATCATTAGTATTACTGGCATCTTCACACAGCTGTTATATCGATGGTCTCACGCGGAAAGTGAAAAGCAAAAGGAAATTACATACTAAGAAGAGGTACAAACAATATGGAAGCATATGCTCAATGTTAAAATACAAGTTTATGTACATATAGACATACATACAAACATAGTATTTATATTCGTATATTAGCAGTGGCGGATCGTAAGCTCGGTTTTGTGGGGGTAAAAAAGAATCAACAATTTTGCACGCCTAAGTATGATAGATATTTTATTTTATTATATTACATATTGTTTATAAATGCACAGTGTGCTTTTTTAACACTCCATGCGAACTTATCGTAGCGTTTTCGACAGAAGCAGCATTTTGATATTAAACAAAATGGTTTTGAAAACTAATATAATTGCCTTTCACGGAAAAATATTGCCCTTGAGCCACAATTACTCCTTGACCTTAAAAAATTGGTCAAAAATAGTGTTCTTCAAAAAAATATGCATTTTTATTTTTTATTTTACTAATATTGTAGATCTTGAGACGAGCAAGACGATTCCACTGACAAGAATTCGAAAAAAAAACACACAATTTCATATCCCTCGAAGAACAAGTGCGTTTTAATGCAATTCAAGAGCTTGAATTTGAGCCAAGGTAGCAGTCTTTAGGCACTTTCAGAACCAAATTATAACGATTCTGAAGTTAAACTTCGAAATTTCATGTGACATTTTACGCATTTTTTTTTATAATTTTGGAGTCAAAACTAGTTCAGAAGTTTCGAAGTTTGGCTTAAAATTGGTTTAACTTGGCTCAAATTAAAGGCCTTGGTTTAACTTGGCTCAAATTAAAGGCCTTGAATTGCATTAAAACACACTTGTTGCTAGATGGATGTAAAAATGTGTGAAGGCATTGCTGCATGCAAATAAAGTAAATGGAATAAATAATAGGTACATTTTTTAAATTGAGATGTTCAATTTTTTTTTGGAATATGGAACAGTAAATTAGTTCTGACAAGGGGGCGTGGCACCTCCTATAGGCGTGACATTTTTAATCAGCTATAATTAACTCGAGTTTATGGGCCATTTTGGAGTTAAACGGTTAACACTACTCATTAACTCGGAGTTTGCCATACAAATAATTTTCGTTTAACTCGCCTCAAACACCACTTTTATTTGAAGTTAAAGCGAATTTGGTTTGTGTCGTTGATAATCCAAACCTGCAACCAACTTGCCGACAGTTAGCCTCCCTGTAGTCAAATGAACTAGTTGTAAACCACCTTACAACTAGTATGAACCGCATGCCCAACTAGTCAGCCAACTATCTTTTTTCCATGCAATCAACTGGTATTTTTAATATGGGGATGTCCTACGAGATGGCAATTGTCAGATTTCGGTCAGAAATATACCAGTATCATACTAGTTCAAAATAGACAGAAAAATACTAGTCTAATTATGGACCAAAACCACTACTTTGGGAGTAAAAAATAAAATGAATTCATGAATATGCAATAAACAACTTTTAAGTACACTTTAATATATAACACATTTTTATTTAGCAGC